TATTCAGTGCCCAGTAATAATTTTGAATTTTTTTTTTTGAACGACACATGTCTAATCGTCGACGCTGTATCCATGGGAATGACACTTGACACGAATTTTCTCATGTGGTGCTGTCCTTTCGGGGACGGACGTTAAATTCCTACACAATTTTACAGTATTCCAAGGGGTGTTAAACCTGTACAATTTTGCAATTTTAAACCCAAAACAAAATTTTGAGCAATATGTTTGTAAAAGTCGTCATAATTTAGATAATTTAAGATAGCGAGCTTCACAACCCTGCTCCAGCTCGGGTTTAGTGGGATACAACGTCCCAACAGAGAAAAAAAACCGAAAGCTCGATAAAAGTCCTTCCCTATACAGGGATCGAACTCGAATCGCTTGCATTGTTCATTTTTCATTGTTTCAAGAAGCAACATCCCTGCATTCCGGACATGTCCATTGGTGCTCCGTTGCTCTCTCCAAAATGTCGCCGAGGGTCTTTCCCCTGATTGTGCCATTGCATATCTGGTTGAACGTTCTTCTGTTCTTTCCTTCAAGGATGCCATATTTTCCGCTTCCTGAATTTCTTGCAAGCGACGGCGAAGTGCCAAACTACTACACTATAGACGCCGATCTACTTCTTGTCTCAAAAGCCATGACTTCCAAAATCAGATAACATACTGGCATTGATAACAAATTATTGAACTATAACGGAGGGTATCGTTGGTCGTGGGTGGTTGGAGGGCGCCTCTTGTAGGTTCTACTTCTTTACTTTCACTCTATTGTTACTGTGTGTCTATCTTCCTTTTTTTCCACAGTACTGCATGCCCATTATTGTGTCGACGTGTTTCTCTTCACTCATACAAAAGCCAATACAGATATCGTTAGTCGTTGAATGTCTAATTGATTGCTTCTTTTCGTTTCCCCGCAGGTGCCCACACCAGCATGATTGGGCTGTCTTGTTGCTATCACGTGACCCTATTGATACTGCTGCTGGGACTGAGGCTTGCCTTTGCAAGTGGGGGCTCACCACTTTCATCGTCTTCCACTTCTTCGTCGTCTTCATCATCATTATCATCCTCATCCACAACACCACCACCGCCCCCGTTGTCACCTTCATATTCACCTCCGTCCCCTTTTTGGTCGTCGTCATCGCCATTATCGTCAACGTTATCGTTTTTGCCCGAGTCATTCATGTCATCAGCGCCACCTTCGTCGTCATCGCTGCCCTCATCCAACGTGCAGTCTCAATCAGAAGGTTCAAGCATACTCAGCAACAGCGAATCGGACAGCGAGAAACAAGACGCTTCATCGTTGTCAGCCAATCAAAACACAGATTCCAACGCTATGGAAATGCCTGGCGCGGTTTCATCCAATCAACACGAAGCATTGACTACCACCCAGTCCACCGATATTTCAATCACAAAACGGGCGAAATTCAAACTTGGGGCTTCGGAAAAGGAGAAGAAGCTTTTAAACGCGGTGGAAAAATTATTTTTAAAACATGTTGGACTCCAGCAAAGACCAAGGATTAATAAGAAATTCAAAGTCCCGGAGTATATGTTGGATTTGTACAGAACACAAGTTGAAAATTCGAAAAGACCGAACACTTACCTGAAGCTCAAAGGAACTGGATTGATAGCTGCAAATACAGTGAGGAGTTTTTTACACACAGGTGAGTGCCCCGTTCCTTTTCTTATCCCGTCAAAGTATTTTACTGTGATGCACGTGTTGTTTGTATGTGGTTGGCAGACAGTCTGGTGAGGTTTGCTCCTTCGCTTACATTAAACACATCTGTCATTCTTATCTGTCCTCCTTCTTTTCTTTGTCTCTAAATTTTAGAACGTATATGACCTTTTGTGTTGTAAGGGCCGTAAAACTCTTGCTACAAACAAAAACTTGTTGTTGACATCCCACTGTCTCAAGGGACATGGGTTGTGCACCTTAGTTGTCTTGTTGAGTTGCAGCGTGTGCTGAGGCTCTATAGTCCTATCTTGGAGAGACAGGTCTTTTCGCAGTTACTGCAGTTGATTGAATTACACTCATACTTGAGCGGGTGCCGATACTGCTCTCCGCCGTGGGTGGTTGGTGGGTGCTCAAATATATATCGTCCTTATCTTGCCTCTTTTTTCTTTTTTTTTTGTTAATCTCTTGCAGCTTCTCTAATCTTCGGCACTTATGAGACCTTTCATAGTGTTGCCAGTGCCGTAAAACTCTTACTAGAAAATCTGACCTCCACTTTCTATGCCACCCCCCTCCCCTTCCACCCCAGCCTCTCGTGTGGATGGTTAGCTGGCGCTCTTGTATTGTTTGCTTCATATCTTTATAAAATTAAACATACCTCTTCCTTATCTTTCCTGCTCCTTTTCTTTGTATGTAACTCTCCAGCAACTCCACAACTCTTTGGCACTTAGATGACCTAACTGTTGCAAGTGCCATTCAATTCGTACTAAAACTACCCTCCCCCTTTTTTTCCAACTGAACCCCCTCCCCCATCTACTCAACTCCCACTCAGCCAGTTTCCAATAACTGCAGTCTGCAATCAAGCCCTCCCAGCTTGATGGGGTGGTGTCGCCTGCAGTAAACAGTTTATCTACGAGTAAGAGAAACGACTTTCAAATTTAGTGTTCATTTAGGACAAACTTAGCGAAACAGTTGTGGAGTTTTTAAAACCATTCACTACTAAGAACGTCCTGTTTGAGATTCAAGCCAGTGGGTGGTTGGCAGGTGCTCTGGTGTGGTTTGCTTCTTCTTTCGTATCAAACATATATCGTCCTTATCTGCCCTTCTTTTTTTATGTTTGTTACTCTCTTGTAACACCTCTTATCTTCTGGCGCTCATATGACCTCATGCAGTTGCGAGCGCCGTAAAACCTCTCCTAAAACTAAACTAAGATTCGAGCCAGGGTCATCCGTATTCCTGTCCAGCGTGACACCAACTGAGCTTTCGGCGCGCACCCTTATCAAGATTTAAGAAAGTGGACAGATATAGTGGGTGGCAAACGCTTGTATAGGGTGTTGTGAACGTCCACCCATTTTCCCCTCCAGACCGCTCCTTCTCCTATTCCCCCCTTTCCGCGTTCTTATCAGAGGCGTCTTAATCGACACCAAGAACTCGAAAATTCGCTAACAATGCAAAGGCTGATAACTACAGTCTGCTGGGTTACTTTTATCGCACACTGGTTCTCGGACTTGTTCAAAGGCTGGGATTTCTCGGCTTGTGACAAATGAGGTACAACTCACGAGCTGGTGATTTTGTGTGCGTGCGCACGTGTGTGTGTATGTGTGTGTGTGTGTTTGTGTGTGTGTATGTGTGAGTGTGTGTGCTCATGTATGTGCGTGTGTATCTATACTTGTGTGTGCACACATTTATGTGTGTGTCTGCACATGTGTGTGTGTGTGTGTGTGTGTGTGTGTGTGTGTGTGTGTGTGTGTGTGTGTGTGCTTGTCCCTGTTTCATGTGTGTGTTTACGGATGTCTATATAATATTACGTGCGTGAGCTCGCATGCACGCGTGCGTGCGAGTATGCGTGCGTGCTTGCGTGAGTGCAGGAGTGCGTAACCCAAACGGAATCCAACGACAGTCCCAAAACAAATTACCTGTAAAAAGCATGGACATAGGAAATGTGTTGGAAGAACAGTGAAGCTTTTGAGAGATCTTCCAAAGCTACAATAATAATATTTTTATTATTTGGTTGCATCATGCACTAAGCCAGACGCTGGAATCTTCGCGTGTATGTGTGGATGTGAGTGTTGGTTTTTGCTGCTAATCTGTGTAACCCTGTATTGTTTTGCCTTTTGTCGCGGAGACAAAATCACCCAACTTTTGCACACTCCGAATTTAATTGTTTCATTTATTTCAAACCCAAGTAGTTTTGTTCCGCTTTTAATTTATTTTTAGTGGAGAGTTAACAAATTACATCTCCAGTGGAAAAACTGTCTGTGTCACCCAGCATCTGTGTATACGCCGTGAACTTGGTTGGGCCAATGTTCTTTACACAGTTTATCTGCTTTTGTTTTCCTTTTGTCAAGAGCTTTCCTTTGCCTATTGAACCTGGTGACGTTTTTTAAAATACATTTTGGAAAAAGAATTAAGCAAGGCAAAAGTAACGAGAAATACGGTTCCTGACTTGCTTATCCAACCTTCCTTCACGAAACTTGCCTCTGCATGCGCAATTGAGTCTAATTTGGGCTTTTTTTCTGACATTTAAATTTGCTGTGGGGCTCCCATTGTTCGTGAAATTTGCTTTGTTTTTTTTATTCAGCGGCGACCGTCTTTTCTGTTTAGCATTTTCGCTCAAGTATACCTTTAATAACATTCCTTCTTCTGTTTTCTCTCCGCTAGACATCTCCATCTTGCCTCCCCCCGCCCCCATGCCCTTTCAATTATCTCCAATCATCATTTTGATTCGAGTATATCTTCAGCATTTCTTATTATTCGGTCCCCGTGAAATTTTCCTAAGCTTTACTTTTAAAAAGATGGAAACATTTGGTGTACTTTGACGTTGCTTGTTTCGTGGAAACCGGTTATGCTATTCACGCTTGCTTCGGACTCGTTCCTTTCGACTGACCACAGGGCCTCTGAATTTTAGCAGAAAAGTGGATTATGTGAAATATGATCAAAGTCTTGCAAAGGCGTCCTCTCAGTAAATACATAAATCTAGCAAGAATCTGATGTAGACAGACAGACAGACAGACAGACAGACAGACAGACAGACAGACAGACAGACAGA